TATATATTTATTTATTATCTATATATATATATATTATTACTAGTTAATTATATACATATAATTATGTGTTATATATATATAATAACACACCTAACGTTTTATTATTTTCATTTTTATAGAATGGATCTCGATTCGGAAATAGACTTTTTCCTGACATCTGATTCCGACGTAAATGCATCGGAATCCGAGGAAGAGAATAAAACACAAACAAATAAAAATGAAAAAAAATATCTATCGGTGATGGAAGCCACCAAAGATATTGGAATATTCGATGAAACAAATAATGAACCAACTGTATTTACGGAAGCTTGTGAAAGAGCATATCGTCGAATAAATCCACGTGATATTTTGAATTTGAACAATGTCATTCGTTCTAAGATCCAAGGTAAACCGCGAGAACAACTTCTTCATAAGGAAATGGACTTCCATAATTTATTGTTAGCAATAAAACGAACATTTGTGCCTGCATATCAAATTGATTGGATGTACGAATTGATTAACTCGAAACAAGAATTTTACGAAACCCCAATGATGTTTGGAAAAAGATTAGAAAAAATATTCCAGGGTGCTGTACGAACATACATAAGTCAACTCGCACCCGTGTTTGCTCAAAATCAGATAGAAACTATGCACAAAAATTCTCTTAGAATATTTCTAGAAAAATTGTCTAATGAAAGATTACGTAAAGAATTGTCGGAAAGAAAACCACGAAATATATGGGAAGCAACGGATATTGCTGAAACTATATGGAATAAATCGAATTTTAGGTTCTCTCGACGTTTAAACGAAAATAATTATTGTCCGTATTGTAAAGATAGAGATTTTCATTATTTCGATTGTCAAATAGAATGATATTAGCATTTTTTTTATAATTAGATTGATTTACGCGATATTTAAAATCACAAAAAGAAAACAAAAACTGTTCTTTTCCTTTTTACTCAAATTGTCGATTAAAGAGAAGACTATAGATTCTTTTTTTTGTAAACTTATAAGAAAGTAATATTTTAAATCTTTTACAAATACGGAACCGAAAAAAATATTGTTTATATGATATTATTAATTAATCTTTAATTGTGTCATGAGAAAAATGATTAACTTTTAAATAATTTTGAACCTTCGTTACAATATTATACTAAGACGAAAATTAAATAAGCAGTTATTACAGGACAAATTAAAGGAACGTTTTAAAGGAAGGTTATTTTACGAAATAAAAAATCATTTGTAAATAATTTGTAATATTATTGAATATTATAGCCCAGCCCTGTAGTTTCACAATAAATCTTTTTAACATATATTGTAATCATTTCTTTTCTATCAAAATATTTTCAAATATATATTTTATATTTCAAATATAATATTTCTTTCGTTTTTCTTTATTTCCTTTATTCTATTCTATATTTATAATTCATAGATAACTAATGCTTATATTTGTAAAATATCCGAATGTTATATTAACAATTTTCTTTAGTCATTTTAATTAATCATTCATTTTCTTTTATTTATTTTGATAAATTAAAAATACGATCAATGTTCAGTTGACAAAATTATCAAAATTTAGGATATAACGTGAACTTTGAAAAAATCTAAGCAAAGTATCGATTGGATATTAAATGAGATAAACTATGAGATTAACTATGTTTTTATCATAGTTCACAAAATTTACTGGGCGAGTACTAAAACAATTAAAATAATAGATAGCGAATCGTTGAACTTAAGAGTTTCGTTGGGAAGGGGAATCATGCAAGGTGGGGTTAGGTTGAATGGACTCATGATCAATCAATGCTATTATATATATATATATATATATAGACAAGCAAAGAGGAAAAGAAGGGGAATCGTGCACGTCCATCCCGAATCAGAAATATTATTCTACGATTTGTCTTTTTTCCTAACTGCAAATTTGAAAAATAATACAACAATATCTTTCAATTCGGATTATCGTATAATTATTTATTTGTTCGTATATAAAAATGTTACTTCGATTAAAAAATAAAAAAGGCATACAACGTTGGATTTAATATCGAATTATTGTGTTATAATTAACAAAAAAGAGAAATTTTCTAATAATAATAATAATGCGTTTCAAATAAGATAACAGGTTAGATTTAAACATTCTTTTAATATTACATTTAGATTATTTATTGTTAGAAATGTAGCAGTTTTTGTGATATTTTTTCTTTCGAAAGTTCAAAGTTGATGCTTACTTCTTAAAATATTACTGACATCACGGGTACTAAATGTTTTCATAGACAATTGTGTTTGTAAACAAACAAAAAAAGACACGTTTGAATTTCGAAATATAATAAATCACGGAAGCTGTTATAATATCTCGAAATACACGAACATTAAAGTAATATTATATTCAAACGTTATTTTATTTAAAACGTATTATTTAACAATGATTATATAAATTATCGTAAATAAAATATATGCAAAATATTGCCATTATAATAAGATATTACAATCTTAACGTTATACCTTTCCATATATATTTTTATTCTTGTTATAAATAAAATTATAACGCGATATGAATTCGATGAATTTAATTAAACGTGTATTTAATATCTACGTAAACGTAAAATATAAATTCGACCAATTAAACTTAATTTTCGAGATTACGTGTAAAATCGATTTCATAAGAAGTAGATTACATTGTTACAAAAATAATATTTGGAAATAATCAAGATAGTAGCTGTTTTACTTTCAAAATATCATTACGTTGTCAAATTTAATTAATTAAATCTATACAATTGTACATTTTGTATGATTAAAACAATACAAATTGTATCCAATTTTCAATTAAATGCATTAAATATGCATTTCTTATTATACGTATCTCTGGATCCTTGAGATTTACATAAGTACATAGATAAGGAAATTATTTCAATGACTTGCAGTTATAAATACTTTAACCGTTTTTTACTGCTGCCTTGATAAGATAAACTTTTCAAATCATTAATATGCATTTTTTTCACGAACGATTCGGATATTTTACATAATGTTTACGAATCGTCAAGTAAAATGTAAAGTCGATAACAAACATTTTTTTTATTATCATCTGTTATCGCTTGTACTTATCATTGTAAGTTATCGTTCCTGCATATTAGTGTGTTTTGATAGACGTCTCATAGTCACTACCTTCCCATAATTAAAAAAGTTATATATAAGGCACTTATTGAAGTTGGTTTCGTTAAATTAATCGTACTGACATAGTGTAACATAATTGTGAGTATATATCTCCGATAAAAAGTGTACAAAGAAATATCATGAACAATCAATCGAGTACCGTGAGTGTTAATCACCAAATTTCGATTATTAAATCATCCAAATGTTGAATAATATAATATATAAATGTGTTAAAAATCATTAAAAATTGATTATTTCAGAGTGATCGCGATTTTGTTATAGAAGATAATATACTTATAGGTAAAAATGTACCTTTTTCTACGAAATACACGAATATTGGAAAATTACTTTTAGATAAAATGAAAGCTAAACCCGACTTTGTTGGCCAGGTAAGTAGACAATTTTTCTATTAAAAACAAATATAAAAGTTAGAAAATGATGTGGTTAAAAAATTGTTTAAAAATTCTACTTGATGACAGAATAATATATTAGTATTTTGTTTTGTAATAAATTATACTAATAAAAAATATTGTTTATCCGTTTACGCTTATCTCAATAGATAAACGTGATCACCGAAGAAGCGTACACTTTTTCTAAAATGTATGATTATACTGTAAAATGTGCTCTTTGGTTGCGTCAACAAGGCATCAAAAGAAATGACTTCGTTGCTTTATGCACTCCCATTACTATGGATAGTTTTGCACCATTCTTTGCTACTTTTTGCGTAGGTGCAATATTTACACCTTGGAATCCAGCAATGGATATACGTGAGTCTTGTTGAATTTTTTCAAGCATTTTTCTACGAATATACAATTTTATCTAACAATTTTTTTCTTTTAAGGAGAGACACGTTACTACATGAAATTGTCCGGTGCAAAAATAGTTTTTGCTGACGAAAAATCGGTGGATACTATATTGGAAGCTGCTAAACTAGAAAGTCACGATATTAAAATCGTCGTGTTTGGTGAATCTTCGAATGCTTTGTCCTATTCGAAAATTCTCGATAGTTATAGCAAGTTAGATGTGAATAATTTCGAATGTACACCAATAGATGACGTACACGATTCAGCTGCACTTCTTTATTCGTCTGGCACAACTGGGCCCCCTAAAGCAGTTCTAATCTCGCATTTTGCATTTTTGTACAATGTCATTTTGCCGAATGGTTTTAACGTCGAAGGAATTCCACTCTGGTTTTCACAATACTTTTGGATAACTGGTGTTTTATTAACATTGAGTGGTATTTCGAAATATTGCGTAAAATTACTTTATCCTAAATTCGAAGAGGAGGCGGCGTGTAAAATTATCGAAAAGTATAAGGTACGATCAGAGAGAGAGAGAGCGTAATGTAATGAAAAATTATTAATAATATTAAACTTTTTTAAGAGTTTAACAGTTCTCGATCGATTCATCTAATTATAATCTAAAAGACTTGATTTATATGATGTTTCGTGTTGTAATAGTATGTTTTTTATTTTATAAATATAAAATATGTTAAAAGACGAATCATTGATTTCAAAGGTTACATGGGTTTTTATGTCGCCTAGCATGGTAAATAGAATATTAAAGTCAGGATATTGTCAAAAGTATGACATGTCCAGTCTTACAAAAGCAGTGATTGGTGGAACACCATTAAGCTTTAAAAGTGAAACTAGGCTTAAAGAATGCTTGCCAAATGCCAATATTATACAACACTATGGTACGATGAAGACAATATTATTCGAATATAAATTGAATTCGTCAATAAGAATTGGGAAGCTAATTTCATTATTAAAATCGTATACATTTTTTAGGGCTAACCGAAATTAGCATTTTGGTAACGACTACAAAACCAAATCACAAAGCAGGTAGTGTTGGAACTATAATGAAAAATATTCAAATTAAGATCATCGATTTAGAAACGGGAAAATCATTGGGTCCAAATAAGACTGGTGAAATTTTGGTTAAATCGATAACAATTATGAATGGTTATTACAATAATCCTCAAGCAAACAAGGATGCGATAGATGCTGATGGTAAAATGAACAACAATATAAAAAGAATTTAATAAACAAACCTATTTGAAATCGTTAACATTAATTAGCGGTAATCATTACAGGATGGTTTCATACTGGGGATCTTGCTTATTATGACGAAGATGGGGAAATTTTTATTATCGATAGATTAAAGGAGACTATAAAGTATCAAGGTATTCAAATTTCTCCATGGGAAATCGAAAGTTTTTTGTTAACACATGCCGATGTTGTCGATGTTGCGGTTGTGGGTGTACCCCATCTCGAGGATGATGAACACCCCATTGCATTTGTTACCAAGGTTCCTAATTCGAAGGTACGAGAGTGTATTGGAAAGATAAGAAAGTAAATTAGAAAAAGAATAATGTAATTATTGTGGATACCTCTACATTTTATAACGTTTTGATGAATATTTATAGGTAACCGAACGAGAACTCCAGGAATTCGTTGCAAGAAATATGACGGATAAATTTCATCTACGAGCTGGTGTGAAATTTTTAGAAAAAATGCCTTACACGGTTTCCGGAAAAATAGCAAAGAAAGATCTTAAAGTGCTAGCTAAAAATTATCAAACGAATTGATCACTATTCGATTTATTTTTTTTTTATAATTGAAGTCAGATCATTTTTATAACGTAACAGTATGTTAATAATATACCTAATTGATTTACTGACTTCATATTTTCGAATTAAAAACTCGCTAAGAATTTCCGTGTGATCGGTTGGGAGGGGATACATCCAATCAAATTGCAGATTTATACGCATTACGATGTATTGTGTATTCACTTTATTTTTGTTCTCTCGAATAAACAAAATTTCCAATAAAATTCCTTTTCTCATAATAGTAAAATAAGAAATAACACGGTCGAATGATTTTTGTACAACATTCCGAGTATAATTTTAAAAAATACTAATATATTAAAATACTCTTTTAAAATAGAATAATTACGAAACTATACATATGTCTATGCATGCTATTGTAAATATGTATGAGAAAACTCGTATATATTATACAGAAAAACGAAAAAAAAAAAAAAAAAAGATAATATACAAAAAGACACGACAATTATTACATAACGTTATTGGTGCATAAATCCATTTACACGTGTCGACTTGAGGCAAACGAATGAATAAATCTAACTCTACTTTTTTTTTACTACATTCAAACTACGTTTACAACTTCAGAATAAATTCAACATTATTTTCTAAATATATAACATATATATATTTATTTTTTTCTTTTCTTCTTAATATTCTCACACAGTAATGATCAAGGAAATTTTTTAATTGAAATAATTATATATTATGTTATAATTTATTAAATGCACAATTTTATTCGTGCCAATCAATCCTGTGATTTATTCGATACTTCTCTTACATTTGGTAGGGGAGAAAGAAAGAGAAAGAAAGAGAGAGAGAGGGAAAGTGTAACATATCTTATAAGTAAGGAATTATCGTACGAACGCGAATTACTTCAGCATCACAAGTTTACTGCGTTAGGTTGTTATTTATGATATTGTTTTGCTCACAGTCAGTTAGCTAACATATAATTAAATAAAAATACGAAGAATCTAAGAACGTTCTAGAAGATCTAGATTATTACACGCTAGTAATTAACCGAAAAACTGCAAAATAAAATAGAACTCGTGACTTGACTTGATTTGATTTGATTTGACTTGACTTGATATTTTATCAACGTGAAAAAAGATTTATTCTGAACAGAAGAGAAAACAGACAGTGAAAGCCGAAAATAAATGAAATAAAGATCGTAACGCGTAAAAACGTACTACATAATAATTGAATTGTATTATTTCTACACAATAATGTCTATGATACTGTGGAATTGAGCAATCAATGTTATTTCTGTAATACATATATCAGAACTTGGGTTTACTTGCTTACGATTTATACGCATCATACTTGTTGCAGTTATTTTTCTTTTAATTAAACGCAAAAACGCAGTGTAATATAATTGTGAGTGCATATCCGATTCAAAGTCTACAACCGGCAGCAAGCATGGTTAATATATCGAATACCGTAAGTATTTATCACTAAATTACAACTATTAACAAATTCAAATTAAAAGTCGGATTTTAAATTGATTAAAATGAATGCAAACGTTTTTGCGAACAAAAATATATTATTTTGTTTGTAATACATTTTCAACAGAGACGTGTTATAAATCATTGTAAATTGATTATTTCAGAGTGATCGCGATTTTGTTATAAAAGATAATATACTTATAGGCAAAAATGTACCTTTTTCTACGGAATACACGAATATTGGACAATTACTTTTAGATAAAATGAAAGCTAGACCCGACTTTGTTGGTCAGGTAGGTACAAAATTATATTACATAAGGTGTTAATTTAATAATTAGAAAACAGATCTCTTATCTTATCGAAAACATCTATATATTTTATTTGCTGTATTAAGAATAACGTATACCATCGGTAAATAACAAATATATTATATAAATAGAGATTAAAGTGTATCATTTGTTGAATAGATACGACAGTATTGAAACGATAAGAAAACATTTAATTGTTTTGCCTGTTTCTTTAGTAAGAATATTTATAGAACATAATTTTTATCAATTCTTATTTTGTTATTTTGATAAGCAGTAATGATAATGCAATCTTCAATTTGAACAAGCAAAAAATTTGATAAATCGTTTTTTAACGAATTGAGATAATAAGAATATAGTTTAATCGTTTACACTTATCTTAATAGATAAATGTGATCACCGAAGAAGCGTATACTTTTTCTAAAATGTATAATTATACTGTAAAATGTGCTCTTTGGTTGCGTCAACAAGGCATCAAAAGAAATGACGTCGTTGCTTTATGCACTCCCATTACTATGGATAGTTTTGCACCATTCTTTGCTACTTTTTGCGTAGGTGCAATATTTACACCTTGGAATCCAACAATGGATATACGTGAGTCTTGTTGAATTTTTTCAAGCATTTTTCTACGAATATACAATTTTATCTAACAATTTTTTTCTTTTAAGGAGAGACACGTTACTACATGAAATTATCCGGTGCAAAAATAGTTTTTGCTGACGAAAAATCGGTGGATACTATATTGGAAGCTGCTAAACTAGAAAATCACGATATTAAAATCGTCGTATTTGGTGAATCTTCGAATGCTTTGTCCTATTCGAAAATTCTCGATAGTTATAGCAAGTTAGATGTGAATAATTTCGAATGTACACCAATAGATGACGTACACGATTCAGCTGCACTTCTTTATTCGTCTGGCACAACTGGGCCCCCTAAAGCAGTTCTAATCTCGCATTTTGCATTTTTGTACAATGTCATTTTGCCCTATGGTTTGAACGCCGAAGGAATTCCACTCTGGTTTTCACAATACTTTTGGATAACTGGTGTTTTATTAACATTGAGTGGTATTTCGAAATATTGCGTAAAATTACTTTATCCTAAATTCGAAGAGGAGGCGGCGTGTAAAATTATCGAAAAGTATAAGGTACGATCAGAGAGAGAGAGAGCGTAATGTAATGAAAAATTATTAATAATATTAAACTAAAATGTTTAACAGTTCTCGATCGATTCATCTAATTATAATCTAAAAGACTTGATTTATATGATGTTTCGTGTTGTAATAGTATGTTTTTTATTTTATAAATATAAAATATGTTAAAAGACGAATCATTGATTTCAAAGGTTATATGGGTTTTTATGTCGCCTAGCATGGTGAATAGAATATTAAAGTCAGGATATTTTAAAAAATACGACGTATCTAGTATTAAAAAACTTAATATTAGTGGAAATATATTTACTAAGCAAAGTGAATATGAAGTTAAAGAATGCATACCAAATGCCGATATCATACAAATGTTTGGTAAATATAAATTATTATTATATTTATCCACAAAGAACTTAAGAAAAGTTAATAATAAATAATAACATTTTTCTTAGGAATGACCGAACTTGGTACCATCGTATCGGCTACAAAACCAAATCACAAAGCAGGTAGCATTGGAACAGTATTGGAAAATTCTCAAATTAAAATCATCGATTTAGAAACTGGAAAATTATTGGGTCCAAATAAAAAAGGTGAAATGTTGGCTAAATCGATAACAATTATGAATGGTTATTACAATAATCCTCAAGCAAACAAGGATGCAATAGATGCCGATGGTAAAATGAACAACGATATGAAAAGAATCTAAWAAACAAATTTGTTTGAAATCGTTTACTTTAATTAACGGTTATAATTACAGGATGGCTGCATACAGGTGATCTTGCTTATTACAACGAAAATGGTGAAATTTTTATTATGGGCAGATTGAAGGAGACTATGAAGTACCAAGGTAATCAAATTTCACCAAATGAAATAGAAAATTTGTTGTTTACACATCCCGATGTTGTCGATGTTGCTGTTGTGGGTGTACCCCATCGCGAGGATGATGAACACCCCATTGCATTTGTTACCAAGGTTCCTAATTCGAAGGTACGAGAGTCTATTGGAAAGATAAAAAAGTAAATTAGAAAAAGAATAATTGAATTATTGTGGATATCTCTAACATTTTATAACGTTTTGATGAATATTTAGGTAACCGAACGAGAACTTCAGGAATTCGTTGCAAGAAATATGACGGATAAATTTCATCTACGAGCTGGTGTAAAATTTTTAGAAAACATGCCTTATACGGCTTCAGGAAAAATAGCCAGGAATAATCTCAAAGCGTTAGCTAAAAATTTTCAAACGAATTGATCATAGATTCTTCGACCTCATGTTTTCCTGATGAAAAAGAAAATTTTCCTCGCAGTTGGAAACGATCTTTGAATGAGTGTTCCTTTTCGATCATATGTCTAAAACATTGTCCGGGAAGATAAATTTTGTTCCGTTCTCGGCTAGTAACCGTTTTTGTAATGCAGTGTTTTTTTAGGAAAAGAAAAAAAAAGAGAAATCGTGTCCTCGAAAGCATCTGGCAAGAAAATTTTGTTCCCGAATAAAAGAGATTTTCTAAAACCTAAAACGGATGGAAAAACTTTCTTTTTTTTTTTTTTAGAATATACCCTTCAGAATAGTCTAGCGATACAATAGTAAGAAGAATGCTTTTCAAAATTTGATCCAGGTCAGTAAAGGGACTTTCTATACAACGGTAAGGGGTGGGAAGGAATGCAAAGGACTTTTCGGAAAAATCAACGCGCGCACAAATCCTCCCACCCGACGACCCTAACTATACCTACAATTGGTCAGAATTCTTCCCCCTCTATTTCCTATTTTCTTCTACGAAACCCTTAAAAGGGCGAGCGTGATTCTATTAACGCATTCTTTTTACGAACACACAACTAGTAAAATCTATCTAATATCTCGTGTTACTACATCTCCCAGTATATAAGTGAATTTTTCTCGTATATTATATAAATTTATATGTTAAGTTTATATCGTTAAGTGTGAATTAAGTTATACAGTGATTATAACGAGCGAGATCGTAGTGTTTGTATAAAGTTTTAACATTAATAGAATTTTCATATAATTCGTGCGGATAATTATTTGGACGTCGAATCGAAGATCAACGATAAATACCATAAAACCATCTATAGTTGAATTCTGCGTGTTTAAAGAAATACAACTAATATTCGAGATAACAAATATAAGTTACGAAACTTATTAATATAAACTAATATTTGTTAAAATGGCACATAATACGACGTCGAACATATCCAATCAACCTACATGGATGAATATACAGCAACGATATCTCAGGCCGGATGGGGCCTTCCCTTATCCTATGGCAAATTTGAATAAGGAAATAGATTTTGGTAAAAAAGAATTCCTTACGCCAGAGAAAGCAGCAGAATCTATTGATTCTTTTGATGGTCAAAATATGAATCCGCTTTTATTTATTACATCATGCGAAAATGCTTATGATAAAATAAACCCATTGGATATTGAGAGTTTGACTAATCTTATTCGTTCTAAAATTGTTGGAGAACTTAATGATTTATTAATAAGTCAGACGGAATTAAATTTCGATGATTTAATGTTGAAATTGAAGCTAATGTTTAAGATTAAAAGTAAACTGGACTTTGCCGAAGAACTCTATAAACAAAAACAAAAGTTATATGAAAATCCTATGAGATTCGGGAAAAGATTATTAAGTTTATTACGATATTTAGAAGAAAATCTACACAAATCGAAAATCAATGAAAACGTGAATATCCTAAATGTGAACTTGATTTTTATGGAACAAGTGGCTATAAGTATTTTTATAAAGAAAATTATAAGTAACGAATTCAGGATAACATTAAAGGAGAAAAAACCAAATTCCATGATAGAAGCTATTGAATTTGCACAACAGATATGGAATTCTAACAATGCTTTATACGAGGTTTATCCATATGATTTATTGCTATTTGAAAATACCAATTGTCTGTATTGTGAGGATAAAAAATTACATTGCCACGACTGCCCCTTTCAATATAAATTTCACATGAATACATTGAATTTAAGGAGAATAGTCTTATATAATAAACCTTATGAGAACAGGCCACCAAAACAAGAGCCTACTGAATTCAATCATTTCAACACTTCTCCATTCGACTTTTTTCATATTATGGAATGCCCAGATGAAATCTACAATAACCTAAAATACTCACCCATTCTTGCAGATACTAAATTTCGAACAATGCTTGAGAAATATAGAGAGAGACTAAAAACATATGATCCAAATAATCCTCCAACAATAGCACAACAAAGAAGAGCGTATAAGGAATTACATAGACGTAGGATTACACAAATGTCACAATCAGGAATGGTTATGAGGTCAAGGCTTCCAAGATTTCCACGGTGTTTACTTACTCATGATCCTAATTCAAGGGTGCGATTAAATAACAGACTAATAAGCAATATGAAAAATACATATATTGAAAAAGAATCATCAAAATTATGTACTCAATTAGTAAATTTAAACATAGGAAAATCCTCAAAATGATCTTAATTTCGTATCATTAATAACAATTTGTAAATATGTAAATAGTTTTGTTTTATCTATCTTATTATATTATATTGTATATAATATTATATTTATTAAATAAGTAATAAGGTTTTTATAAAAATGTAAAAAAAAAATCTGGACATTGATAAGTATGTTTCGAAGAGAGAAAAAATTATATTATCCTTCATAAGCGTATGAATCTTTGTATTTTAATAGAATAGAGAAATGAAACGTGTAAAATTCCACACAACTACTTTTTTATAAATAAATTTTTTACCTATTCTTTACACAATTCGTTTTATTCGTCATTTGATATTTTATGTTTATTATTGTACCATTTTACAGACCGATAGCCTATTAATTAGCTTTTTGTCGCCGACGCTTACCAAACTATAGCCTATTCTTCTCCCAGAATCCCGAATCCTAGAATCTGCGATTGTACGATCGGTAAAGTGATATTTTTTTATGGTGGTAGACATTTTTGTTCAATTCTAAACATACTGAAAATATAACATTCGAATTAAATATGCGGTTGTTAAACTTAAGCATAATAAAATCCTTATGAGAATCTTAATTACATGTAATAATAACCATTTATATTACATGCCCGTTAATACAAATTATTTGTATCACGTTATAATAAATAAATAATAAAGTTTTTGATAAAAAAGTAAAAAGAAAAAAAAGTTAATAATATAATTAAAATAAAACAATTCTAACCTTTTAGATTCGTTCCTTTAATGTTTGATCATTTTACCAATAGTTCGTTTTATTTCTATTACAGTCAAATTTTTACACAGTGTAATACACGTGTCTCACCGTTGAAGCATTTAATTTTATTTATTGCATAGAATAACTAATATAAGTATTGCATGTTATAACCAGGAGATACGTTTTTTTTTTTATGGAAGAATAAATGAAGATGTAACATACTTCGAGAGTGATCGTTGTAGATTAACATAATTGTTAATGTAATAATTAATTAATCTAAGAGAATTTATATTGTAGTCTTAAAGCACGTAATTATAAGTTCGATCTAACGTTTTTTTCGAAATTCAATGTTCGAAATTGTCTCATTGTCTCTATAAAAGTCGATCAAAGTTGTTTTTATTCATTGCTGTTTATATTACTTTCAGAATAATAAATTCTATTTATATGGAATATTATGTTTGTTAAACACATGACAACAAATATGCCAGTTTAACGTTCGATTTCAAAAAGAATGGTACAAAAATCTCATAATCTGTGATTTTAGACAACAATATACATTTCCCTCGTTTAATTAACAATCATTTAAAGTATAGTTAATATGCAGTAATCTACTCTACTAATACTAAAAAATTGCTTAATCATATATAAACTGGTTTTAACATTAAATACCCATTAACGTATCGCGAATAGATAATTATTATAATATTTTTTTTTAATTGACTGTTTCAAATTAGGATTCGTTACTTGGCCGAAATGTAAACAACACAAAATGATCGAATGATTATTTATTAAATTATTTTTTAGATCAATTCTCTGTTATATTTCAACACGTAAACATCGGTGCGTGTTACTGGGAAATTTTACTTTTATTATTATATAAATTATATATATATATATATATATATTTACCATTATATCTGAAAATTGAATGTAATTTTAAATTAAGCAGAAATATTACGTATGACATGCATTTACTTTTCATTGGATCATACATAGATCCATACAAGTTAAATTTGAAGATCAGAAATAGATAATTTTATTTGAATAAAATATTTTATATTAACACTTTACCGACCGGTAGCGGTTCGAACATACTATGCCCTTTTCACCGCCCACTCAGCCGCAGATTGTCCGAGACTATCCTTTTCATTCATTTTTAAGCTTTAGAGCTTAGAGAAAAGCACCGATTATCTGAAAAAAAATGCGAAATGCTTGCTGCTTGCTACTTGTCAGTCTAGTCTAACCAAATCTAACAGAAAGATCAAGGTCGATTAATCGATGACCGGTCAGTAACCGCGATGGAGCAAAAGTCGATTAATCGACGGCCGATCATTAAAAAAAAACTTTAAAAATATATATACGAAAGTGCATTTTTTTTTTTTAGAACTACAAATAGTTGCATAGAATATTTCGTGTGTACCTTCAGAAATGCATTTAAATACATATTTTAAAATGAAGCAATTAAAAACACTCAAATAAAAAAGAATCCAGAAGAATTGATGATAACTCCAACGATGATTACCTGTAACAAGAAGAAAACTATATTAATCAATCAATCAAAAGTGATAGAATAGCCTAACATATAAGTGGTCCAATGTATAGATGCACTTTTTATTTGAAATTTCTATTTACTTTTATTCAATCTCTATTTATCGTTTGTAAAATAAAATAAAATTAAAACGCGTGAATTTACATTAAAAAATATAATTAATTAAGAAACAGGAAAAGTACAAATATTATGATATAAGTTACTAATAAAAATATTATCCTATTAATTATTATAAAATACTTTTAAATTACGTTATATACAAAAGAAAAATTGCAAATTTAATAAAATACAATGACAGTAAAAAATCTTAAAGACGAAACAAGAAAAATTAAATGACTGTAATATTTACTAAACGTTATTCAAACTTCTAATTTTAATAATACGAGAATTTTAATATTTTTGACTCTAACTAAGTAAAAACTTATGCATCTTTTGGACAATTCAGACACAGATTTGGCGTGCCAAGGAGATGGATTGGTCCATCATCTCCAATTACAACTACAAATTAATGACGAGCATGGAAGTAATATATAATAAAATATAAAATATGACTAGAGAGCTATTTTCGAAAAGTTCGAACTTGCTGTTGAACTTTTGAAAATAATTCAATAGTCTGTGTAGTTGCCCACTTGATACCACAAATTTGTGGGGG